CTACCCAGATATAAATAGTTAATGTCTGGATTTTGTGGCTGACACTGCACAATGTGCATTGGATTGGTCTCAGATGAGCAGTGTATGCTCTTAACTTTGAGTGTTGCCTTCAGCTTTCTGGGCATGACAGAATATACTTTGTAAGCATAACCAATCAGGTGGAACTTCTTTAAAGCAGAAGGTAGAAAAGAGGCTTTGAATGAAAAGTTTCTTTTTAAAACTGTTCCAACTTTCTTAGTTGTTAATTTGAAAATGCTTGAGTTTGATAACAGACTGCATGGGGGTTGTTTAAAAAATTTTTCCTTTTAACTTGTATGTCGGCTGGCTGAGTAGGCCAGGCCCTGATTTGTGTTCACCAACTGCAGCATTATGGAGACTGTTGCAGTGCTGTGGGATTTGCCTTTGTGGTTGGAACATCCAGCTAAAAGGAAATCAACAGTTTGGGTAGAGGAGTTTATCTGTAGGTGTGGGGTTCTCTATAGTAGAAAATATCCTGTGAAATAATTTAGAAATATTACTCATGTAGCTTCTGTCCTCCTTGTATAGCTTAGTATTAAGTTGTCCTGAAATATTTTTCAAGTTATTAAAAACCTAATTGAATTGGGAGAGGTTATAGGCATCAAGTGACGTGTTGTTGCTGTTGTCTACATATAATTGTGTGCCATTACTCTTTTATTCTGTGAAACAGTCGTTTTCAGAATTATTTCAGAGTTAATAGTGAAGGCTGGTTATTCTCTTTTTAGGGCCTCTATGGCAGCGTGATTGTAGCAGGAGGAAACACTCTCATACAGAGTTTCACAGACAGATTGAACAGAGAACTGTCTCAGAAAACTCCACCGGTAAAACAACTCTTTAAATTACAGCATTTAGTTATTTATCATTTTGCTTTTCTGCTGCATAAATACACAAGATACTGTAACTGCTTTCTGAATGTTTTACTTCTCCATTCCCGCTTTCAGATTGTGATTTTAAGTTCTGTAATTGTCCCTAAGCAACAGTCACTATTTCCCTTGGTGGCCTCTCTTCTGAAGTGTTGCTGACTAACTTGAAGCACGTTCAGTCAGTCTGCCTGAGGTTTTGTCACTTAATCATGGGAATTGTCCTTCCTGGATTCTGCAGACAACTCCACCCACTCATAGACACAATCTGGTGACTTAACATACTTGTATTTTTTTTAAAATAACTTAATGTCAAAGAAGGTACTAACACTTTACACCTGTGTTCTTGAGAGCACATCCAGTTTATGGTATTTCTCCAGTATTCATATTCAAGAAAAAATATTCTACTTGTAGCAACTCTGAAACATGAATGTTTTCAGAAACTGAGAATGGGAGTTTACTTACTGCTTGTAATAGCTGAGGAGGAACTCGTTGAAATTCAAATAATTTATTGCTATGAGGTATTCTGAAAGCAAAAGGAATTAATGGGTCCAAAAAGGACTAGATGAATCAAGTTCAGCAGTGCCTGTTTTAAGTAGCCCAGTGTTAGAGCTGACAACATATACTGTGAGTATTACTGCTTTTACCTGCCAGATTCCTAGCTTTACACATTTGCTGCTTCTCCCTGTGGGGAGACAAAATGAAAGCCCCACACCTTCTGTCCTGCTGTGGTTCTTCTTGTATTCCAAGTACAGGGGAGATGAGCATAATTGCAAGTTTAATACAATTTTCCTTTTTCACCTGCATGTTGGTATATGCATCATGTTCCTTGTGCTGTCCTTCTCTTGTCCCTAAAGGTCACCAGCCCACAATTAGCCTGATGGCTCTTTCACTTTATCTCCTTTTCTGTTCAGAGCATGCGCCTGAAGTTGATCGCGAACAACACAACAGTGGAGCGGAGGTTCAGCTCATGGATTGGTGGTTCCATTTTGGCTTCTCTGGTTAGTAAACCTGTGTTCAGATGTTGCTCTGATAAGCAACACCGTCACCCAAGAAGCTATTTGTCTAAATGTGCATTGCAGAGTTGGTGCTGCTGTAGCAGTCATAACCCTGTATATCCTTGTGGTAAGGTGAAGGGAATGTATTTAAAGAACAAGACAACAAGAGCCTTGCCAGTGAAAAAATAACTTGCCACATTCTTCCATTTTTAATGGCAAGTGGTGCAGGCTTGGAAGATGTCTAGAAATGACATGTATGTAGTACACCAGGAAAGCAGGAAAGTTGTTTCTGCATCATATTCCTGGGCTTAATTCTTTTAGTTACTGAGTACTGACATGGTCTGTGGGGATGAATTTAGCAGTATGGGAAAGGGATGCTGAAATCAGCTTTTAGAAGTGTAGCTTCCTGTCTTCAGTTTAGTCACTAGCAATATAAAACTCAAAGGAAAAGAAAGTTAAGAGGTCAAGTCCTCTTGCCTCATTTAATGTAAAGATGTTTGGTTTTCCTCCTGGGAAAAGCTAATCATGTTTCATATAACCTTAATTTTTATTTTGTTTTAATTGTGTGTTTTGTTGGGTTTTTTGTAGGGTACTTTTCAACAGATGTGGATTTCTAAACAAGAATATGAAGAAGGAGGGAAACAGTGTGTAGAAAGAAAATGTCCTTAAACCTCTTACTGTGAAAACTGCTGCCTGCTCAGTGCTCCTTCTGTTTTATAGCTTTAGCATACTCAGGAATGGGATGGACTCTCTTTTGTAGAAGGTTTCTATTGGATTTTTTGCATAATTCAAGTTCCATTTTAACAAACCTTAGAAATGTTGAGACGTAATTGGTACTGTCATAGAAGAAGGATGTTTACATCCCTTGTCGAGCAATAATTCACGTAACAAGCATTTTATAATTTTGTATAAATGTCTATTTTCTCTAGCATCTTTTCCTGGGAACAGCTTTACAGGTTAGCTAGTAAATAGAGGCATAACCTTGCAAATTCTCATGCAAATTTATTAAAAATACCATGTGTACTTTTACATATTGGTCTTCCTTGCTGGTACTTTGGCCTTAAATTGCTCTTATTTTCTCTCTTAAAAAAAAATAAAAATTGGTCTTTTATATTTGAGCAACTTTCTGAGTACTTGCTGAGAAAGTTACTCTTCTGTTTTAAAAATTGAAGGTTTTTATTTAGTGATCTATTACAGGTGACTCAGTTCAGTGCAAACTTTTGCTGTCTAGTGAAAGGGTTACATTCCATGTAGTGAATGTTATAATAAGCACTGGTCTGTTCATTTTCTATTATGGGGCAGTTTCATTTCAGTAAACAATCAGTGTTTTCCACCTGATTTCCAAGAATGTATATAATGCCCTTGTGATGTAGGTGAGAAGCAAAACTTGTTTGAGCCAGGGAAGTTAAGGGAAAGAATTGTTTCTCCAAGATGAGGAGAACAGTCACAGAAGACCTCAGGATGTGATGTTTTACAGGGAGCTGTAACTCAAGGGGCAGTCACTACTGGTTTATTCCTGGTTTAGCTGTCTCACAGCAGGGTGTGTAAGTGCCTGCATTTTGCATGAAGAGTGTGCACTCAGGGTCAGAGGAAGTGGGAAGAATATTTTTTTTTTCAG